TGCTAAACGCCCCGGTCGGAAGGGAGCGGCATTGTCTCGTCACGTGTTCTCCACCCACTACATCCTCCCTCCAGCTATCTCGGCCCACCAGAAACAATGACACTTCCAGATCACATGAAATTTAATAGGAAAGAAAGCTGAAAAGATTGTGGTTACCTTCAGAATATTCAGAGGAATGGTGACATCTACAGTCGGTTCCTCCTTGGCTGCCTCTTTGTCAGATTGATTCTCAATCGATGTTGTGACGAGGATCGGCAAAGCTTTTTTGGGTTCTTCTAGTTTCTGTACGGCAGGACTCGAGGAACGTGATCTGGCTGAGGTTCGACTGGCACGGCTGCTTGGTCTTGACCTGTCGCTTTGTGAAGTGTCACCGTTGGCTGCAGCTGATGAGAGGTTGTTCGGATTGGACTCGTTCTTGTCATCTGAGACCGTGAGAGTGGCTGAAACCTTCGTCTGGTCGGAGATAGTGTCATTCTTTGTTCCAGAAGGAGTAGGACTTCTGCGCTGGACTGTGGTTTCTTGTGAAGCGTCTTGTGAAGGCTCCGTTTTGAGGGAAATTGCCTCCTTTGGCTTGGCATCGGGCCCTTCAGTGGCCTCCGTCGGGGTCTTTTCTTTTTTTATAGCCTGAGCAGGGGCTACATTCGGGCTCACACTCCTCGATGGAGTCTCACTTGATCTTCCCGACTTGTTTTCACCACTGGGAGTGGGTGACTTCCTTGACTCGCTGACATCGTAGGGTTTTGCTGAGAGTGAATCACGTCGAATATTACTGTCCATCGCCGATGGCTTCAACCCCGCTGCAGACACCGCCGCTGAAAAAACGAAACGTTAGGTTTATTTTTACAGGCGCTGCGTATAGACTATTCAAATGAGCCCAATATAGTGCAGTGCTGAAGCCTATGATATGAAGGATTCGAAGTTCAAGTAGATAAGGTACCACTACTTTCATTCAGAGTAATGGAAAGATTTCAGAAGCCTCAGAACGAACCTAGGGTGTTCTCATCAAATCAGGGCACGTCTTGTCGTTGTGGGAGAAACCCCATAATGTGTACCTCTGATACGACCTCGTTTCCCCATTCCCACCACAGTTCTGAATTTTACCAGCTTCCTAGCTCTTTGTTCTCAGAAAACTGCCGTCGAGCAGTGGATGGGCAGCGGCCTACTAGGTCACTGGCGACAAGGCCAATAAATCTGTTAAAACCAAAAATGTTAGATTTTTGTAGAAATTTGGACACTAACAATTATTACTACAAAGTTTTTTCGAGAACAGGCAGGATCTGACACTTTTTTGCGGAGGCAGATTTGGACTGAAACTTGGGTTCCTAGGCAACAATTCGGCGCTCCCTGACACAAAATATCACATCCGCTCGGCCCCGAAACCGCCTGGCGCCTGCGCATATAGGCCAAGTGCTAGAATTACCTAGTCACCAAGATTCGGCTGGAGAGACCCCTATACGGAGGATTATTTGAGCATCCTAATTGACAAAGTATCAACCTTCATTTAGGCGCTGGAGCTTGATGGAAGACGCTGGCGATCATGTGGCAGCGATATTGGTGAGAAAGGTAGCGGCGGCCAAACGGCGGCCAACCCCGAAACGGTGCTATATTACAGGGACACGCGAACCTCTGGTAGCAAAGTTCAGGTCAAAAAATCTCTTGACTTTTTAAGGTAGTAATGGGTTGAATATGTGTTCGAAAATTGTGCTTGTGATATCTGAGGTTGCAATATGCCCCCCCCCCCAAACAGAATTATTTTATGCGTGTCGTGGAAAACGCCAATTCAGAAACATTTTTGTACGAGGTTTCAGTTCTAGGTAACACTACATAATAGCAGAATTCCCGGGGTCAAGATGAAAACAACTCAATTCTTGAGGGTTTTTGCAGAAATTCAAGCTAGAATACACAAGAAGTGCTCATAAGATGGTAAATTCATTTTGTTGGCTAATACCACTCGCCGAAGGGATCACGAGGTGCCATGGAAGGGTAATTGTACGGACAAGGAGAAGAGGACAAATCCTCATCTACCATGTTTGTCCCTGAGCTCTTTCCTAATATGGCTCCACTACTTATATCGAAAAGAAAAATCGGCTGAAATAGCTGTGATGATCTGGGGACGGCGGTGAAGAGGATAGTAATGGACTTCAAACCCGAGCCTGAAGAACCCCGAGTTTTGGCAAGAGGGTTTATCTAGAGTCGAGACAGAACGATTAGACTACGTCCTTCTGTTGGGAAGTATTAGTGGGAAATGCGACACACTCCTCAAAAAGTCCTCCTTTTGTACGGCAAGCTTATCCCAAAATCTTCTCCTCCCGTACGTCCCGTCCCTCCCCTCCCCCAGTCCCCATCCTACCTGCCATCTTCCTGAAGTTTTCACAACTTCCTACTAGTTTCCTGAAGTTCTTTTCCAAAAACTCCCCACTTTTTCCCCGAAAAGCTGCCCTCGAGATGGATTCAATCGTGTACTGAAGGAATAGCCAAGGAAAGTCAAGAACTGAAAACTTTTTACCCAAAGGCGAAAATGCCCTTCACCTTCAGCAACCACATACTACCCTCTCCCTTGCTGGGGATCTTGTAGCAACTGTTTTTGGCGTTGAAACAATCCGGAAGAAAGTTCTGAGAGCGCCTGAAATTCTTGGATACCCAGTAGTCCAACCCTAATGAGCAGAATATATGTAGAAAGTGAGAGAAGCCTCAACGAAGATAAGAAGCGGCTATCTTCACTGGTGGTGCTCAAGAGAACTGAACCGCTTGAAGGTGGTCCAAGATTGATGAGAAAGCCAAAAAAACATGCTAAAAAGCTGCGAAAAGAGGTTGTGAAGATGTATTACAAGAACGCGAAGAACCGAGTGTCCGGGTGACTTTTCGCCTGGTGCTGACATTTTAGTTTCATCGATGTCAGCTGTTTTCGATTGTCAACATCACTACCACTCCAGCACTCATCGCTGTTTCTTGTCCTTTTCGTAATTGAACTCTAAGCTTCAATTGCTACGTGAACACCTCTAATGGAAGGTGGAAGTAACACCGTTTAGTTAACAGTTCAGATTTTCCGGGAGACGGGCGATTCTATCACGGGCTAACAAGATGGCGTAGGACACTTTGCGCGCGGCGAGTGGCGCGACGACGTCAGATTGCGTCAATGTATCCACGCAAGTTGTCACTAGAGCTAGCAGTAGGATGCGGTCTCCTTCATGGCTCAATGCGCGGCGGGGGGCAGTTTTACTTGTGCTATGCCTATCCGATGGTCGACCTGCAGACAGCCTCCCCCGAGCGTCAGGTTCCACCAGTGGGCTGACGGCTAATCCAGGGTCACGCAGAAGTTCACAGGCTTCTACCTTAGAGTGAGACTTGGCAAACCGGAACTAATGAAAGTCTCAAAATAGCCAAAAATGCCCCTCTCGCTCGTCGCCGAACTGCACCCTTTATAGATTGAACCGTTGGCTATGAGACCTGCAGGCTCGTACGCAAAGCTGCGGACGCCGCAGCCACGACGACGCCGGCGGCGGCCACGAGAATAAGAATCGTCACATGCTTAAATTTCCATGATGGAATCCACCATCTATAGTACTCTAGAAGGACGTCGCCTAATGGGCAAGACATAAGTCCGACTTCCGAGGATGTATGATCAGTCTGACTCCGCCCATACAATCAGCGCGGAGGTGTACCTGTAATACCACCGCCCGCACAGATCATGTATACGGAGGCGATCGTATACTAATGGCTAAGAGGACTAGAAATTAACACCAGGACTCACTCAACAAGTTTATCTTGATAAAGGTCAATAGTAAAGAAAAAGAACCCCACTTTGGCCGTTGGGACCGATCTTTCATCACGCTTCGAGGCATTCATAGCTGAGCATTTACGGTTGTGGGCGTCGGGAGAGCTTTCTTGCTATCGCGGGAGTCCGACATGTGTCGGCTCTGAAGGGAAGAATCACAACAAAGTACTGCCATAAGTCCTTTAAAAGCAGTTGGCACCGATAAATCGCTTATATAGGTGGTAGGATTCGTACAATTGGCTTAACAGATTCCTGACTTTCGGACAGGCGCACCCCCCCCCCCCCCCCCCCCCCCCCCCCCCCATTGCGTGAAGCCTTTTTCCAAGGAGGGTACCACTCTAACGGCCCTTATTGACGCAAAACAATTTACGTTCCAACGTTTACTGCTCCGCCCACCCACAAAGGGAAGACCGTTTTTCGTGACGCTCGTATTCATTTTTTTGCTGCAGCACATGTATTGCAAGCCACGACGAAGGATGTTGAAGCGGCGGTTGCATGTGCATGCAGCATATGGGGTAACAACAATATAGCAGGGTAATTTCGGATAGCGGTGATTGGCAAGATGCCTACGGAAACTCGTCCGAAATCGATTTTCAAGTCACTGAGAACGGAGGCTTTTTCTTCGCAGGATTTTGACCGTTTCACTCCGTTCTTTCGCCATTTCCCCACTATACAGCGCCCTACTAGCATTTTAGGCTAAGTAGGAAACCATCGTGCCAACTGCCTTTAAAATATAGCAGTGACTATATATCTGTAGGCCCCAAGTCGGATGTTAGTAAGCTCAGATCCAGCACGACTAGAGAGCTTGGACATTAGTTGGAACGCGCGATTCTTGCGCTGCTGCGAAACTCTGTCGGGCAAAATGTACAAACGTCAAGGAAAGTTAGAAGTTAAGAGTGCGCTCCCATCTTTCAACTTGAACACCCTACTTGAGAAAGTAGACGATGATGAAATACCATTTTTTCACGAATATTGCGAAGCTGCTCTGCAAAAGAGTTGTCAAGCTCGGTAGGGCTTAGTTCTTCATCTGACGACGGCTCCTCCTCGGCTTCGCTATGCGAAATGAACGATCGACCTTTCGCTGAAAATAGGGGTATTGGAGCAATATAAAGCAGAATAGAAGTATAGAGAATTGTGCTGAAAAAAGGTATAAATTGAATGAGTAGAAAAATTATAAAACCGATAGGCAATATTCACCCCTTAGTACGCCAACCTTTCGGAAACCGGGCTAGTTTTTTTTACAGACGCTGCTGTTCAGGGTATATTTGGCGGAAAACTTGTTTCCTGGGATACTACGACCTTCTGAACATCACATCCGCTTGCTGCGAAACCGCCCACAGTCAGCGGCATGTTCGCCGGTGCCAGGATCCCTAAACCACCAAACCTGAAAACTTGCCCCAGGGCTAGTTTGAACAGCTAAAAACATCAACTTGGCCCGAAATCGTCTGCAGTTCGCGCTACTGGAGTCGGAATCAAAATAGGCACGTGGTGGTGTCGCCTGTGGCACATGGTGCCGCCGCTAGATCGTTTCGGTCCAAGCGAATGAGGTATTAATGTTCAGGAGGTCAAACCACTCCCAAAGACGAATTTTCAGCCAAATCCACTCTCTGAGGAAGAAGTCGATGAGGAAAGTCGTCCGATTCCTGACGACCGGGGCAGTAAAAGGTAACTGGTACCAACCGATGTTAGCAAAACATCAAAAAAGGCACATTCCGCGATGACATGGGCGGACCCTTGAGGCCATTGCTCCTTTCTATTGGTGCCTTTACGTTTTGATACCGTAGAGGAGAAGGGACATGCCAATGGGCAATATGAATGGTTATGAATCTCCTCCCAATCGCTTATCACGGAATGCGCTTTCAAGTCAGAAAGGAAAATCTACTCTGGACAATGTTTCGCATTACAGTATTATTCTCAAGTAATCCTCTGAAAAAACAGTCCTACTTAGCCCTCTTAAAAATCCAGGTGTGGTTTGGGAGTGCTCGGTTACTCACCTTTTCCATATGATCCTTTCTCATTGTCCGATTTTGTGTCCTCATCCTTCACATAGCGTTTATAGAGTTTATCAAAAGTTTTCTCGGCACGATCCTCCTGAATATTTTTCCAAATTGAAATTTCGCACGATTTTTATACTGCCTGATCTTTGAGCTGATGTTGGATCGGCAGCCGTGGTCATGAACCTGCCACTGCCCTCTGCCACTGCTCGAACATCTGTTCGGTTCCCATTCCCCTTCGCTTTTGAATATGTTTTCACCACTCAGCACACTCCGCGACCCCTTCCTCCACATTACACTGACTGCATCTCAGCCCACCCATTGATTATCCACGTCAGACATCACGACTTTCGGCACAATTATCTGATTTAGTCGATAAATCAATAATCGTACCCCTGGGCTATCAAGTAGCGTCTTCTCGGATCTCGACATCGATCGGGTGTCTCGTTCAAATCGATTCGGATGGGTCTTGTCTTCCCTGAAATCCCTGT